TCTTATAACAGAACTGTGTTTTCTGTGTGGTCCACGCCGCGGCTATGTAACGAAATCTCCAGAATAACCGAGGGAGTGACAGAGTTAGTTCAAGGGCAGTTACGAGTCAGCCGTAAGCTGGAGGAGTGAGTCCAGAAGAATTTTTAGTGCCGAGGTCACAGAGTGATTGAAGACGAAATAGCGAGTTAACAGTGATTTGAAGTGCTAAGTTCTGTGTTGAGATCCGTTGCCAGGAGACGACTAGTGATGACTGGGAATCCTAGTGGTTGTGCAACGGTAAACTGGAAAGTGTGCAAATCAGCGATAGCGCTGTATTTAAATGCGATTAAGACAACTTCTAACCAAGGTACTAACAAATCCAATTATCCGAAACAGACCCCGTTATTTTCGTCACGCGTACAACCCTTCACGTGACAATAGAAAGAAACCTAGTTTTTAATCTGTATCTTCCGATATAAATCACCTCAGATCTACATAAAGACCTAATATCTCAGGTGAAGAATTTATATTTGGAATCAAATCTTCCTTCGCTGGCAACAGATGATGCTCCAACTTGGTTTCGGGCTAGAAAATCGTTGGGGAAAAATGAGCGCGTGTTTCGGACTGTTGCAGAGGGCCTTGAATTTCGACGAATTCTCTGGAGCGATTGAAGCGACAGAAGGTGGACTTGTAGCGTGTTACGTGGGGAGTCTTTATAGGGTAGATCCAATGAAAACGATTGCAGGAGAACATTCAAATGATAAGTTAGATTTAGTGGGACTACAGGAAGTCAGATGAGACAAGGGTGGAACCGAACCAGAAAGCGAATATACGAGTACATTTCTGTATGGAACGTGGAATGAGAATCATAAATTATATACAGATTTTCTTGCACATAAGACAATCATATCAGCAATTAGGAAGGTAGAGTTTATTAGTGATAGGATGATGTACATACTGCTAAGAGGTCGCTGGTGTGATATTGTTATGAACGTTCATGCCCCAACAGAGGATAAAATTGATTATACGAAGTACAGCTACCATGAGGAATTAAAACGTGTACTCGATAAATTTCTCTGGAAGAAGGGGGGGGGGCGGATGGAAGGAAGGCAAAACACCGAAGAAAAGGCGGAAGTAACACGCGGAAGATGAACACCTTAGGAAACGAAACCAAGGATGCACAGTTAGGCTGTTCGGGACGAACAACTTTTAGAAACGAGCAATGTAACGTGTTTGGAGTAGATACTTCCATGGTAACGCAATGACAGTGGGCCGCTGCGTAGACTGCCGAAACAACGAAGGCGTATCCTCGGAGATGAACAACAGAAGGCCGTTGAGTAACAACGGATGAGATGAAACTCGTTACCAGCGTATAAAGAGCGTTCCCGAAGCAACGGATTGCCGAACACGTCAGATCGAACCTTGGCGAGGAGTGTCCTCTACTGAGTCCGCAGAACACCTACATAAGCCGAGAGCGACAGGGCTAAACAGAGGTAATTAGCCTTCATACAAGACAGTTGGAACCTAGTCGAGACGTCGCAGAAGTCACGTGGTACCACAAGCGATAATAACTGTATGGTGTATAAGTGTGAGTGTCCAATAAAGATTCGCTGAATCCGAGACCCACGTAAAGTTATTTGCCTTGTGACACACCCAACACGTAACAATATGCAGATTTTATTAGGCGATTTCAATGCCAAAGTAGATATAGAACACATTTTCAAACTAAGAATTAGGGCGGTATTTTACACGAAATTCGTAATGTTATTGTTAGTGTAGTAAACTTTGATACAACCGAAAATTTAATTGTCAAAACTTGATCGTAACACTCCTAAATTTATTTGGACATCTGATGGAAAAACTCAAAACATAATTGACCATAATTTTATACAGAGAGACGGCATTCAAGTGTGCGTCACTTCCGACCGTTCAGGGAAGCGGCCTGAGATACTGACCACTGTTGGTGGTAAAATTTAGGGAGAGAGACGCAGTGAGTAAACAACAAAAGGCATGCATTTCATATGGAGAAGTTCAGTCTCAATAAACTTAATCAGATACAGTGTAGAGAAGAGCACTGGGTTAAAACGTCAAAAGGTTTGGAGTTTTGAAAAACTTAGTTGATAACAATAAGCACATTGACAGAGCTTCGGAAACTGTAAGAGGTATAACATTTCTGTCAAAAAGAGTCTTATATTATTGCGAATTAACACAACACAAACCATGGTTAGACGAAGGATATTCGAAACTGTTAGATCAAAGGGAACAAGCCAGGCTGCAGTGGTTACAGGGCCCAAGCCAAATAAATGGGGATAATGTGAACAATAGAAGACTTGAAGCCAGTAGGCATTTCAGGAATGAAAAGAGGGAATATCTGAGAGACAAAACTAATGAGATTAAGACACACAATACGAACAAGAATACTAAATATTTGTACAGCAGAGTAAATGAATGTAAGAACGATTACGAACCTGGAACTAACATAGGAAGATAAGAATTGTGATCTGCTTGCAAATCCCCACAGCACTGTGAATACATGGAAGATTATTTTCAGGTATTGAAGAGACATGGAGATACTGATGTTCATCAGGTTTAAGCATGTACAGCTTAGCAATTAGTAACCCTTCCTGTCCTTTCTTTTTGTTAAGCTTCCTACGGAATATTTTAAAAGTTACAAGTCTCCATATACTGATCAAATTCAACTATAAATTCTTCATGTTGGAAGTGAAATATTAGGTTCTGAGATCCGTAAACACTTAAGTTCATTTGGAATAAGAAATAATTGCCGTTCCAGTGGATGGAGTCTACGGCAGCATGTATTTACGACAAGGGTGATACAGCTTACTATGGTAATTATAGAAGCATATCACTGTTATCTGATAAACGGAGAATCTAATGCAATTCTCGTGTCTCAGTTTAAATCCAGAGGTGGACGAAGTTACTTGTTATCATAAATGTGGATTTCGAAGTAACAGATTAACTGCTGATTCTGTGCATTACTGAGATGCTGGAATATATGGGGAGTAAAACACAGTACCTTAGCTATTCTGACACTTAGTGTGGCATTATGTTTCAGTTAGGAGGAAGTATTGCATAACAGTCTCACGAGTTCTATATATAAAGTGTGTCTAAATGACCTTGCAGTAAATTCTCCGAAGATAAATATATTTCTTGACACGTCCACTACACAGGGTGATCTTAAACAAGGTGATGCTTTGTGGTCGTAGGTTCTCAGGTTTGCTTCAGTCTGGTTTTTGCAAATTTTTAAGATAACCAGGAGGGACTGAAAATACAATGGGTCATATCTGGTTCAGGTCAACGCTGATGATACTGATGTGCTGAAGATGGAGATAAATGCGGTATTAGCAGCCACTAAGGAGCCTTGTCTTGAAGCAAACACAAGGGAAGCTAAATACATGTTAAAGTTTCGTCAATCGAATTCATGGCAAACCGTGTAAGAGAGGGATATGATCAGTGTTTAAGAAAAGTCGCAAAGTTAAAATATTCTGAAGTGCACTAACAAATGAAGCTACATTATGATGTAATTAAGAAGAAATGAAATTAAGAAAAAAGCTTGATGCCATTAAACTTAGAAACCTGTTACATCTCCTCTCTAGCTAAATACGTAAACATGGAAATATTCAAATACAAAATTTTATCCGTAGTGTGAAATTTCGCCAGTCATTTTAAGGGAAAAGAATTGACTGAGGGCGTTTGGGTCTATGAGGATATGATATAATATGAGAATGAAAAAAACCGTACAACGAGCAGTTCCGTGATAAGTACTCCTCGCCAAATGTCGTCAGAATGGCCAAGGATGAGAAATGAAATGAGCGTTGGTATGAAGTCCTCATGGAAAGAAACACAGAAGAAATGTAATCAGAGTTCTTGTAGGAAAACCTGAAAGCAAGAAGCCACTAGAATAATCCAGGTGTAGACCGGAGAATAAAATTAAAATGGATCATAGAGAAAACAGATGGGAATAAGTACTCTGGTTTAAGGCAGTGATCAATGGAACGCTATTCTAAACACGACAATGAAAGATTGGTCTTTTAAAATGCTGCTAATTTCTTGACTGGCTCTTCAGCTGTTACCTTCTCAAAAACAGTTCAATCTCATAGAAGTAGCTAACTTGTTAGCTAAGCTTACCTCAGGCCTATAGAAATATAAAGTAACAGCTCACCAAACAACGGGAGAAGACAGATTAACAAAAAACAATGGCGAATTATAAACGAATAGAAGAAAGTAGGGTGCAACGCCCCAGGAGACGCTTGGACGAATGCAAATACTTTAAGACCGCAAGAAGCATCGAGTCGCCTAATCAATAAAATAAATTTCTAAACACTTAACGGTTATAAAAGCGGTGTCAACACTTAATTCAAAATAAGGCCCCAAAATGCTACTGTGTTATGTATACAAACACATATGGAACTCATAATGATGCCTAGTTCAATAGCAGTTTATAGTAGCGATTGATGTATTCACCACGTGCCTTGAGACCTAACCACTCTATTTTCTGCTTATAAAATGGGTTAATACTTCATGGGTTTGGTGGGATTACATAAACATTGATCATTTCCCTGATCAGCGCTGTCAGCTTATTCCTTGCAATTGAGAATACGTCTTACGTTAAGTAAGAACTGCATTATAAAATATTATTTAGACAAATATCAGACTTCAAATGGTCAAAATATGAATAAAATTATATTAGAGATATTACTGTTGAATTCAATGAAATATTGTAATCGATGTCCTGTGAAAAATCAGTCCCTTCAACCAGAAATAATTAGAATCCAAAAATCAGTTTCTTTTCTATAAGCAGAAACATTTATATACACATAACAGAGGAAACGGTGCCGTTGATCGGGAATTTGTAATTCGTATTACTATGTTTGCATTAATTTTATCGTGTTAAAAGGGAACATGAACCACCGTAAAATTCAGATTCTTCCTTTCACGGAAGAACAATAGCGACAGGCTTGCCACCGTGTACACTAGCTTGAAAATAAAACTGAAGCACTCACCAACATTGTTGCCAGGCAACGCCAGTCCAAACAGCGCTCCCACCACGGCCAGAAGGCGTAACATGGCGACAAGCGTGTCTCACATCACATCAGATTGCAAACACCGTCCCTGGGCCACCATGCTGCAACATAAATAGGATATACACGTAAATATCAATAGGCAATATGAGATATTGTAAAGAATAAATCACAAACTTTTTTCTCAGCAAAATCCACAAGTTCACGTCCTATTTACCTAAATCCTCTTTTAATATTATCTTTCTGTTTCCCTTTCTTCCCCTTTCGCAAATTCTCCTGTTTCTTTGAAAGGTCCACTTTTTTAAACACTGCTTTTATTAGGATACCACAAATGACATAGTTCCTCATTATTAAAATCTTCTAGAATCTCTTAAACTCACTTATTACGAATATAAAAACGGTAAGGGATAACATTAGATCTTCATAAAGTGATATTACGACTTTCTTTCAGAGTAAATTCTAGTTTCTCCTTCAAGCGGAATAACACTGTAATGTGGTATTTGAGAACGAAGGTAAAAAACAATTTGGCTCATGCAGTAATCTTTGAGACAAATTCACAATGACAAAGTAACCGGTTCGAATTCCTACGCAGACACGAAATATCCTGACTGAAACCTTTCTTCATGTACCTTCGTCACTGCAGGCAAGTGCCGGACGGAATAAACTCTCAGATTATGCCATAAAATTTAATGCTCCAGTTTGTTTTCAATTAATTATCATACCAATCGACGCTATATTGTCTTGGGTAGGCTACAGACAGCGTCGGTAAATAATCCATAATAAGTGAAACTGAAAACAAAATTATGCGAAATATGAAATAATTGGGACGTAGGGAAATGTATATAATAGGAACGTCTATTATTTGAGCTCTTTTATATCCAGAAAGTTGGCTCAAAGAATGAAGCTTCCGAACGGTATATGTAAGATATTCGGTTTCAGTTTTGAGTGGGACGGTGACTGCGCTGACAGGTATTTCATTGTTTTCCTGAGTCTCTCCGGGAAATTTCTAATTTAGTACCTTAAAATAGACCGGGTTTCTTCTGTCCCTATTCTGTCCACATCATTATTTACTTTCATCCAACGACTCGACGCAATGCAGACTGGCATCTTTAAGTAAACCACAGATAAACACATAAAAATTGTTTGTTTACTGCTGTTACTCAGATGGAATCAACGAAGAGATGGCTGTTTCGGCATCTATAACGCGTAACGTAAACACGAATAGAATTATTATAGTTTAGAAAGCCCGAAATTTATAGCTGAGAATATATTAACACAAAATTTAGACCTTTTAAAAGTATTTTCTTGCAGTTTAATGCAAAGAACTGCAGTGTGAAGGTACGTAGTGGTTTCGACTGGCTCATAGTTTCGTTCAATGGTAGATAATTTTATGAATAACGAAAGCGAAATTTTGGGTTCCATAAAAACTGAACATTTCTTGACAATCTACATATCGTTTGTATACTGCATTCTAACTAAACGACATATTCTCCCATATGCAATGTTTTATTACAGCGACATATTTCGACATTTCTATCATTCAGAATTACTGGGGTTTTGGACTATTTCCATCATCCGGAATTCTAGGTAATAGAAGATACTCTAGGTAATATAGAATTCCGGATGATGGAAGAAGTCCAAAACCCCATTAATTCTGTGTGCCATCCATCATCGTCAGAACCCTTTAGAATCTATTTCGATCATTATCAGTCTAGTTTACATTAATTATCTGCGAACAATCTACAATTATCAAACATTGGAAAATGCTTGCAAGAATGTTTTATATTTCAGCACATGGTTAAAATTATTATAACGAATTACTATAAATATTCTTCGTTGTATTTTCTTTAGTATTTTATAAATTATTTACAAAACCTGTAAGACTTGTGTTAAGATGGAGATGAAAGTTAGTAGAATTGTTGTAGTTATGTTGTACTCGGCTTATGGGATATTGCATTAATTCTTTTTTCGTTGATTATAAGAGGTTTTCTGACGCTAGAAGGTGTATAATTTCGCGCCATTTCTTCCGCTAATCTTTGTGAACTTTAACTAGTCCTACATTATAAGTTTGTGTCTTTTCTAATTGTTGTGAATGCTTTACTTGCTGCAGTTAACCCAGAATATTAACATAATATTTTAATACAGTCACATTTTAGTGACTAAACGCTAGATTTTGACTGATAATTGGTTTATGAGAGATTTAGCTGTAAATAGCTACAATACTCTCCCTAATTTACACACACTACAGATCACTACAAACACAGGGCACATAAAGATTTTCGATCGGTTGGGTAAAATGCTGCTGGTCCTCTTCAGCACAGCCATTCTTGGTTCCGAGTCCCATGGCGTCCATGGTTTTCAAAGAATTCTAGGTGTTTTGAAAGGCACCTCCTTTTCGACAAGTGGAGGGGCTGACTATTAGTGGTAATGCCATCTCTACTGCAGGTGACTCAAGAGGGAGTTCGCTGTGTGGCCCTGCTCTGGCCTAGAGACCACTGAGTCCCCACAGTTTGATGTCCCCATGCACCTTCTATTAATAGCAGACGGCAGTTGGATTTTACATCGTGTCCTCACAACAACAGAAGACATATAAAATCTGACTGCTATATTGCTGCTAGCCCTCAACAGCACACTGATTCTTGGTTCCGAGTCGCGTGGGATTCATAGCAATATTCTGTGCTCTCTCTGTTACTGCCTACTGTCTTGGGACTCCGTTCGGAGTTTCTTATAACTCTTCTGTCCTGATGAAATTCCAGGATCGATAACAGAGATCGTCGAATAGTAAATATGAAAACACTAACCAGCATTACCTTAAGGTTGGTCGATCGGTCGGTCGGTTAGATTGTTTTTGGCCTTCGACAGCAGTCATTCCTGGCTTCAGTCTCCTCATGATCCATTTCCAAGATTTGTGTTCTCTCTAGACAAGTACGTGTTTATAAATGGGGCCTCTTCTTCGAAGAAGGAGGGGTCGGTCTTTCTATGTAGCTGCTCGGTTTGTTTCGCCATAGTTTCAGCACGAGCATATCTGCACTGTCACGGCGTCCAGGTCACTGTTGACTTTGTGCACCCCTTGTCACTGCACTGTACTGAGTAACATTTGTACAAAATACAGAGGGGTGTCTTGTCAATGCAGGCTTGTGCAGCAGGCTATGCCTGAACTTATGCAACCACACTGACACTGCAGTTAGCTGAACGGTCGCAGAATTGACCGCCGCCATGCTTAAAGATCTAACAGCTTCCCATGCCTGGCTACTCCTTGTTCAATGCCACGTACATTTGAATTTACATGGTTATATTTCTCGGGGTTATATTTGAGATCAGGTGCGAAGAACACGGCAAATATTTTGAAGACTTCAAGGCAAAGAAGAAATTACACCGGAATGCGTTTAAAGATTATAAGTGGAAAGAGTATCCTATATTTATACAAGTTAATAAAACTTGAATGGGGATACGATATGGCTATACTATATGTAACAGAAAATTTAAGAAAATTGTTGTGCTTGATACATTCATTCATCTGTAATCTGTCAGACGACAGGTCCACAGTCTCTTCCAAAACAGTTCCTCCACTTGATGCGATCTAGAGCTTTCTCCTTCAAATGAGAATATCCTCTTCTGTCCCAAAGGTCATCCAGCATCTTCTTACGTCTTCTTCTTCGTCTTCTGGTCACTTCTATCCGTCCCTCTATCTTTCCTTCAATAACTTCTTTTAGGAGGCAGTTGCCGCGTAAGTTATGACCAATCAATTAGCCTTCCGGTATCTTATTTCGTGTAGGATATTCCTCTGTTCACTGACTCTAAATAACACGTCTTCATTTCTCACATAATCGGTCCAACTGATCTTCTCCATCCTTCTCCAACACTACATTTCAAAACTTTCCAGATGTTTCTGATCTACTGCCCTAAGTGTCCATGTTTCAGCCCCATACAGAGCTATGCTCCAAATGTAGCATTTCACTAGTTTCTTCCTCAAATTTAAGTCCAATTTGCTGGTAAAAAGATTCTTCTTCTTGCTAAATGCAGCTTTTGCCATGGCAATCCTGGATTTAATTTCACATGTACACTTTCCATCAATTGTTAACAAGCTACCCAAATATTTAAAACATTTCATATTCTCCAGTTGTTTTTGGTCTATCTTTATTGTGACTGGGGTTGGTTGTCTCGAAATTTTCATTACTTTGTTTTTTCCACATTCATTTCCATGCCATAGCACCTACCAATTTCAATTAGTCTATCAATCATACCCTGTAGCACAGTTTCTTCCTTAGCCATTAACACAAGATCATCTGCATATTTCACAGTTTGAATAACTTGCCCTCCTAATTTGAAGTCTCCAAGCCCATCCAGAGCTTCCTTGGTAAGGCTTGGTTTTATGTGGAAATTAAAATATTTCAATGTAGGCAAAAGTGAATAAACCAAATCTTAACATATGATGAGGAATAATTTTCATTGCATATAATTTGTATTTTTGGGGGCATTTGGTAACTAAATTCTTATAAGGACAATTTCTCATAATAGGAATAAAGAATCCGTGAAAGGTAATGTAGAGTTGTTTTCAAAGATATGAAAAAGAAAAAGGGCAATGCATAATTTTAACAATGTGGAGGCGAAAAATTCAAAAAGAAATTTTTGATTAATAGTAAAAGTATTATACAAATTTGTTTGGTTGTTATTCAAGGCGAAGCTATCACCTGTAGACATTCATTAATGTACGTAACAGAAAATGAATTGAGAAAAATAACACCGTTATAAAAATACATTTTATGTACAATCAGTATACAGTACCGTCAGTCAAGTTGCTAATACTTGATGGGTAAGAGTAACGTATAAGCTTCTAAAGCAATAGTTTATACTATAGAATTAGTTAAGACAGTAACTATGTAATTCAGTATATTAATTAGTAATCTTTCTTTAAAGAAAAGAAGTAAATAGTACATGAACCAAATTGGTTCTAGATTTTATCAAAAAGTTTTATAAACAGTACTTTGTAGTTCTTTTGGCTTATTTTGGACTTCATCCATCGTCCGGTATGTAAAAGACAAAAGACCACGACGTTTCGGAGACTGGATCTGTCTCCGTCTTCAGGTGGGTAGGGAAGGATAAA